AAGGAGAAATTTAGCTGTCTTATTGCACTTGAAGTCATGTATAAAATTACATTCTTCCTTATATTTACCATATTATCATTACTCCCGTCGATGTTTCACAAAACAGCGATAAAGAAAGAAGAATTCGTAAAACAAAGAAGTGGTGATGCAGGGTGTGACAGAAAGAGAGTCAATTTATGGAGAGATTTTGGGTATTTTATAGGGTACTTTTCAATGTAGAAATTTTTTCCTTCCAAGACTTACCTTCTTCTAGATTTTACTTTTTGATATTTTTGCTTTGAATATTTGTTATTCGAAATTTTTAGTTTTCGGTCAATATCATTAGTTTCGGTACAAATAAACATTTTGTTTTTATCCTTAAAATACATGTCAAGGAAAAGCGAAAAGTATTTTAAAATGAAAGAAAATTTTTAAGAAGATGGCGAAATAAATCTAAGCTTGTTATTATCTGACACATATTTACATGATGCTAGGTGAGTATTTTGCAAGGGAGAAAAAGCGCACTCCGCCACTCTCTCAATATTCGTCACCCGAAACAGAACAGTTATGTTCCCAGAACAGAATAATCTGGTACTTTCCTTGGGGAAATTACCCAGATAACGGGACAATTGTGTTCTGTTCTGTGAATACTTTTCCCACAGACGGAACGTCTTTGTTCTGCTTGTAGGAACAGAGATTTCTGGGACAGTTCAGTTCAATAAAATTTTTTAAGCCCGCGGTACTCCGCGCCACACCGGGCGCTCCGGGACTTCACGGAGTGGCGGAGTGCGCTTTTCCCCCCTTGACTTTTTATCGTTCTGTCTATAGTAAATTCTCGTCTGAAATCATAGTTGCTTTGAGATTGACCATAATTCTATGAATAATGTTCATCTAATATCCATAATTTCTTTTTTCACAATTTTTCAGCCTTCATTTGAGGGTTCAAACATATTGCACTAAATTATTCAGATCAACTGTTTATTGAGACTACTAAACTGGAGCTGATGACCAGTTCAGTTCATGTGAACTGGAGCTGGTGACCAGTTCAGTTCATTTGAGCTTGAACTGGGAACCCAGTTCTTCGATTCAGTTCACACGAACTGTTGAACTTGAACTGTCACATGCCTACTCTTAGTGCGCTATTTATTACAAAATGACGAAAGCATGTTTTGACCTCGCGGATGCGTGGTTTTGTAGTAGACACTATTTACTATTTATGATAAAATCTCCAAGGTTAAGTAATCTGTTGTTACTGAGTTAGCAGAGTTTAAAGTTGACAAATTTTCAAGATGGACGAATCCAAGTTTTTCGGGGCTTTTCGTAAAATTTCAATATCTCAGCACGATACAACTTTTTGATTTGCGTCTTTTACCAAAATTCATGAAAATGTTTGGTCTAAAAGAGCCCCCTGGTTTGAGAAAGTTTTGAGAATAACGATTGAAGACTACCTCGCTGTAATAGGTCGTGCCTTACGTGCAATGGCTCTTAAGTTATTCTATATCCCATTGATGACAAATCTACGAAAATAAATTTACAAAGCTGTATAGTTTCCGAAAGGTCTTCTAGAAAACAGTTGAACAAAAACATGATTTTCAAGTTTTTCGATCGTGTAATCACACTTAGCGGATAAAATTAGCCATAGCCTGACGTTTTCAACTCGTGCGGGTGTGTCTTGAGTGAATTGTTTCGTATTAGGTGAGAACAGTCAGGAAAGCCTATTTTTCGTAAAACTCGTTTTTTACTATATTTTTCAATACTTTTCCAAAAATAAACATTACGGCCAGATTTAGCATGGTCGACTACGTGCGTTCCATGCAACTTCAAGACTACCTCAAGTCACTTGGTACCAGTCCTGGGGCTCCAAGGAAATCTGCTAGCAAACCAGAATCACTGGAAATGAAGATCTCGCTGGGCTTCCATTTTGAAAAGCATACTTTGGCATCCATTCATGTAAAAAGAACAGTATATCGTCACTTTAACCTTTGGAAAACTACATTGGTTTTCTATTTCTTTAGAATCCTACTTTCGAACAAGTTTCAGTTAAAAAGCAATTAACTATAACTGTAAAACTGTAAAACTGATACATTTGATAATCGAAACTAATCATAGGTGTCAGAAAAAATTTATTCGATAGAGGGAAATATCGAAAAAGAAAACCCATGTATTTTACGGATAGTCTGATAAAATGTAGTTTGCATTCAGTCACATTACGACTCCTTGAAAAAACAGTCCCGTCACGCTCAACTTTTTACTACAGATACTAAATACTCTATCCGGTTCTAAATCCCTTTTAAGCCTTTTCAAGTTGAACTTTCGGTCTGAGAAGGGTTTCAGTATCAAAGACCGACTTTTGCACTTTTTACATAGGATTTTTAGCATTTTTCGAAGCAAAGCATATATTATGAAAAAAAAAATTGGAATATGCGATGGGCTCTGCGTTATCTATGGAAAGCTCGATGGAACTATTTTTTCAAGGAGTCGTAATGTGACTGGATGAAAACTAGAGTTTAGCAGAAAACTCATAAAAGAACATGACACAATATCTTGAGCAAACATAATGGATTTTCTTTTTCGATATTCTATCTCTCGTATAAATTTTTTCTGACAGTTATGATCAGTTTCGATCATCAAATGTACCAGTTTTTAACTGTAGTTACAGTTAATCGTAACTGTTGCACTTTCGAAAAGGATTTCGAAATTTGTTTTGGGTACGAAAAGATGTCTCCGATCTTCTCTATCGAATGGCGAAAACTGCAGATCCACATCACTTTTTGTTTAAACATTATTCAAAATATGGTCGACTTCATTTTATCTTGAAATGAATAGTAGTCTCAATAAACAGTTGATCCGAATAATTTAGTGCAATATGTTTGAACCCTCAAATGAAGGCTGAAAAATTGTGAAAAAAGAAATTATGGATATTAGATGAACATTATTCATAGAATTATGGTCAATCTCGAAGCAACTATGATTTCAGACGAGAATTTACTATAGACAGAACGATAAAAAGTCCATTAATGTAGTGATTCGAGGGAATTTTTGTTACAGAAAATAAAGCTAATAATATATGATTCTCTCGGAAGAGGACATGTTCATGTACCAACTTTACGGGCAGAATTCCGACTTTTTCGCCTCTGATTTAGAAAAAATGAATTTTCTCCGCAACGAAACAAAATTTTAAGAAAAGCGAGCCATCCCATGTCGAATTTTCGAGAGATATTTAATGCAAAAAATTGCAGAAATTCACGTCCGTTGTTTTGCAAAAACCTGTAGTAAAATTCCCGTTTCTCACGTAACATCATACGCATCAATTTTTTTACTAAATACAGGCTTCGGGAGCTCGGGTGGGGGGGACCAAGTTCTAGAGATACTTGTTCCAGTCAGTGTATTTCTGCTATAGTATATTAAAATTTCACAAAAATCAGTTCTATATGCAACTTTTAGCAAAATTTTGCAAAAATATTTCGAAACAGATTTTTGACAGAACCCGATCCAAACCTTATTTTATTTGAATTTAAATTAGATATCTTGCAAACCGACTTTTCAGGCTGCAAGAAACTCGAAATAACTTTTAGAACCAGTTTAAAGATGAGAGAAAATCTACATAAAGCAAAAAACAGCTGGTTTGATCTTGTTCGATGTACATCTCGGCATCCACTTGACATGGAAAGCTCTTTTTCTCACAAGTGAAGAAACATTTTTGAAGAAACAAAATATTAAAAAGAAATTTAAAATCTGTTGAGCCGAATAGCTTTTATAAGCAAAACATTCTTCGACAACCCACCGTACAATGGCTATGCAATTCACTGATATGAAAGAATAACACTGTATATTGTAAAAATAAAAAATGAAATACGAAATTAAATAGAAACAATAAAGAAATGAGATGAAGCATATGACAGACAAATAGCGACAACAAGACAGGACAAGAAATACAACTGAACAAAAGCAGACAAATGATTAGATCATTTCCATTGTTCACAGACACTATATCAGGCCACTCTTCCACTGACTTGACCGCAAGCACATTCTTACAACTGACAAAGACTAGTATAGTCGAAATCAATTTCATCTTGTTATTTACTTCAATAAAACTGTAATTAAACCAGTTTTCATATAAAATTAACGCTTCAAGGCAAAAGCACCCCTCCAGAAACGCCGTCGTCACCCTTCTCCATCCATCTTCGCACAAAAATGTTCTTGTCAAAGTCTCTCACCGCAAGAAGACCTTTTACTTGCAGTACTTTTCTCGCTAAAAGGAGATAATACTACTTTGACTCCATTAAAAAATTTTTATTACCATCACTAATTAATTTGAATAGATCTAAAAAATGAAAAACATTGGAAATAGTTTCTCGATTAATACGATGTTAAAGTCTGAAAACTAGCTGATTACTAATTAAAAAAGCGTCTCTGAGGGACATCAACGTAAATTGAAACAACTGAAATACGTCTTAGTTTTAGCTGGATTCATATTATATTATTGTTTTTCACGTCTTCACCTAGTTAAAGCATTTTTAAAATAAACGCCGAACATATTGAATATTTAATTTGAATACGGATAAAATTTTTGTCATTTATAACACTGTTAAGTAGAGCCTTCTTAACAACTTTAGTGCTTTACTATAATAACTCATGGCTTCACCATTAAGACAATTCATTTTTTGATAAAGTTGACTTATTTTTGTGTATGTAATGACTGTTTCGCATTGGAATATTGGAGTCAAATTTTCACTTATTTTCAACGAACTTTCGTAATTTAATAGAGCTTGTTCATTTTCATTTAATTTTTCATATATATCACCAATCGATCTATACTCAAAAGTAAAAGAATTGAATGAATTCATTCGTCTAGAAAATATTTTGACAAACCTGTTGTGAAATAATAATCTCATCCCCCACAAGATTTGATTCCTTTATAGCTCTTGGCAAGAGACCAGTTTTTTTTTCAAAAACGATAAATCATTTGTTGTCGCTTGCTTTACACTTGCTGCTAACTCTTTTGGTTGTAATAATAATTTGAGTTCTTTCAACGTATAATCTAGTGCCTGATGATATTTTTCCTGTTTCAAATAAATCTGACTAATAAAACGATAACATTCGGCTAATTCTAAATCATTTTTAAACTTTGTTTCATAGAATTTTGCTGCTAAGTATAAGTGTTCTAGTGCTTGCTTATAATTTTTGCCGATATCATATATAATTTGTCCAATATATTTATGTGCCAAACCATAGCTATCGAACGGACATTCATCCGTTGAGTAAAATTGGATGATACGTTGAAAACATTCTTTAGCATTTGTATAATTATCTAGTTTTTCTTGGTAAATTGTACCAATTTTAAACAGACAACCAACAAACATTTGTCGCAGCTCTATCGAAGGGTAAAGGATCAATGCTTGTTCATATATATTCAATGCTTTTAAGTAATTTTTATATGCTAGTTCGTCATTACCAGTGAAATAATAACAATTACCAATAACAGCGGGACTTAATGCTAGATTAACGTAGTCATGTGGAAATACTTTGTTTTCAAATAAACTTAATGCTCGTTCAAAGTATTCTCTGGATAGAAAGAAATTCTTTTGTACTTTCTCTAATAACCTGCCAATTTGGAGACAACAAACTGCAACGAATATTGGAAATGTTCGATCTTCCATTTCTAATACAATTTTATAATGTTTTAACGCTTCGTCGTATTGTTTCATTTCATCAAAAATATGTTGATTATTTTATTCTACAAGGTTTAGATGAACAGCGCTTGACAGATTTGATACAAGCTGTTGAATTAATTTATGTGAATAAAACAATGAGTAATGTTATTGAGAAAACTGTCGAA